TTCAATTATTTAGGATTTGTCCTTACAGAATTTTCTTTAAGTATCAGCCTTAGTGATTACTGGAGATAAGGAGCTTTCTGTTCGTCCAGCTGCCTTTTAAACTATCTAACTTGCTTCACAATTTGACTGATATAATTTGTTTTTCTTGTGGCTCTTATGCGCTGTGAAAAAAATAAGACCTTACCTAGTATCGGTTGTATCAGTTGCTATACAAATAGCAACAGGAGAGAGAGTTCAGGCCCCAAATCTTTACAGCATAAATAGTTAAGACAGACATGAGGCAAACAGGAATAAATTTATTAATGGAATATTCAGGCTAATTGTCCCATCAGCCTGTTAAATGTCCTGTTACAGTATTTCCTTGCTGAGGTGCTTTATTCTGGTGCCTAATGGAGTGTGCTTAAGTAGTCTCTAGTCTATGGTTATGAATTTCTTTGCACTTCATTTGCTCCCTTCTTTGGTATTCTCCCTGATTCTAAGTTTGTCTTCTCAGTACTAGTTTAGGTAGTTCACCATCATCAGGAAGGAGCCCTTAATTGGCTCTGTTTGCTATTATTAAATATTACTGTTGTCCTCCTCAAGTGTAATGTCATCTTCAAATGTAATGAAGTCTTGAAGAGGTGCTCATTGCACTACTTGGTGAAATAATAATGAAAAAAAGATCAGTTTTACTGAGCCAGAAAATACGGAATTAGCACCCACTAACAACTATAGGCTGTTATTTGCTAATCACTATTGGCAGTTCATGTCTGTTTTCCGCTGCTCTGGGGCGCTGTTTTATTATCTGTTCTTGTGCTATTCCCTCTTTGTAGCTGGAGACAGCAAGTTCATACAGTTCAGGCAATGAAGATGAGGATCGTTTTCCCCTTGATTGACAAAACAAGCAAATGGGTTGAGTGAGCAAGAAAGTTATTTTATGCTAAAGTTGCATATGGTTGAAAAATTCTGGGAGGTAAATTTCCTTACTGTATCATACACAGAAAGCACTCATGTAAGAAAGAAGTTACTGTAGTGTTTTGATAGTTTTTAGCATTAAATATTTTTCCTGTACTTGCAGAAGAGAGCAGTAGGTGGGTTGGTGCTGCGAGTAAGCATTTCTTCTGCAAAGGAGAAATTTAACTTAAAATCTTGCACTGTTTTGCATCTCGTATAACATTATATTACCAGCTATCTGTAGACTGCCTTAGAATTCAAAGGGAATTTAGGACTTTCTGGCTTCAGGGATAAACTTGTTCAAGAGTTTCCTAGCTACAGATTTTGCAGCTACCTTAGTTGGGCTGATGCATCTTTTTAAAAAAAAAAAAAAAAAAAAAAGCCTATGTTTTTGTGATCGGGATCAGTTCAGCGATCATTGCACAAAGCAGTATTACAGCGGCGGGGGCCAAGAAGGGCTGGATGAGAACAGCGTGGAGAAAGTTTTACGGCAGCTCAGTTTTTGTGTGCTTCAGTTTGTAAACCTGCAAGTTGAGCTACATTAGTAAAATTTCACTCATTCGAATATGAAATTGTGTGGGATTCTTTTGTGGAGTGTACTGTGAAAGTGGCTAATGAAGTTAAATTGACAATTTACTTAACATTTGAGAGGAGAGAGGAAACGCCTGTAAGAGATTTTGCTCTGTTATGACAGAAATGACTGCGATGTTGAAAAGGCAAGTTGCGTTTTTTCAGTTACGGTGGAAAAAGTGATGGTCTTGTGCTGGTTACCATGGAAATGCACAATATGGATTGTAGAAATTAGAAAGATTTCTGGACAGAGCAGAAAGACAATTGTTCTTTTTATAGTGAAAGGCTGCCGTCTGTTTGTCCTTATGGATTATTGAAACAAAGCTCTGACAGAGGTATCGTCTTCAAAGCTCTAAACTTCAGGAAAAAAAATATTATATTTTCACTACGAAAACTCAAATAATATAAACATGGAATAATTTAAAGCTTCTGCTGAGCTGCTTCATTGAGGATCTAGTAGCTTCTCAATTACCTTTTTTCTTCTCTAATCACTAAGTCCTACAATCTGCAGGTGCTTTTAAAAGAATGTGCTCCCCTGTGCTGTGCTGACTTCCATTTAGTGTATTATAAGGGAGTTGGATGATATCTCATGTTTCCAAACTTTGCTGCCTTTCCAAGAAGGGAAAAAGCTAAATAATTTAACATAAGTCACTAGCAGCAAAACATTAATTATTTTTATCCTATGGCAAAACAGTCCCCTTGCAAAGTCAGCTGTGAAGAGGTGAGTCTAAATTTAAAGTATAGCAAAGTGCCTGGTCCTGAACTCTGCGCTCTAAGCAACATTTGAGTGCCACTGTCTTTAAACAAAAATTTTCAAATACTGCATACCTAAGATTTCCCTCTTAGCCTGAAGCAGAAATAATGCGCCGTTTAATATCATGTATCCTTTTGTCTTGAGGTGTAACTTAGAAATTAAAAAAATAAAATAAAAAGTTAATTTGAGTCTTTATTTTCTTCTAAGAAAATAAAAATAGGGTGGGTTTTTAGAAGATAATAATATTAACAAAGCCATTAGCTATATGTCCAACATGTTCAAATTTACTTGAAGATTTTATTGTTTTACTGCCTCAAATTTTAGGCTAATAAATCTGATTGCTTTAATATCAGTTCACCCCCATTAGAGACTGAAGTATGTTTTCTCCACCCCGGGACCGACACCTTTGATTTTGTTTTGTTTACTCCAAATGGAGTTCAGTGTGCATGCACCAAAATTGCTCTACAAGCCCAAGTAAGTGGGAATGATCAGGAGATTTACTTCAAAACCATATACCAAAACGCTAGATGTGGCAAAGGTCGTCTTAACTGTTGCACAGAGACTTACCTCTAACGAACATTACATATAAACATGAAAATTGTGGGTTGAGGGGAAAAAGCAATTTTCATGCACTCCATGCAAAAATTGATATATTTTTGATGTAGGTAATAACTCCTTTGCTTCTGTGTGAAGGTCACCAAAGCCATCAAAATCATTTTCTCTTCCTTTAAATTAACATAGCACATCAAGCCAGGCTTTGTCCAAGTGCAGCATGTCAGTGCATGTGAATCCGTCTTGTGCTGGGCTCTGTACGGGTGACTGACCTGTTAAAGAGGGCTGTTTGAGCAGATGCTGTTGATGACATTTTGTGATGGAAATGACTGAGAAATGTTGATCTTTCTTTTCTGTTAAGGATGTTTCTTTTCTTTCTTTCTTCTTTTTTCCTTTTTTGCTTATGAGGTAACTTAATTGTCTATTGAAAACTTACAAGATTTTTCACTAGTAAGCCTCTCCTCAAATTTATTGGTATTTGTAGGGCTGTATCTTTAAGGTTGAATGAAGGCACATCTTTAAACAATTTAGTTATGGGAGGAAGTAGGAAGTAAAGGAATATTAGGAATGTCTTTTTTTTCATGTTGGGATATCGATGAAGAAGGACTTTAAAGATGCAAAAAAAAATTGTGTGCTCCATATTTTTCCTCTGGTTTCAGCTTTTGAGGAACACATCTGCGTGCAGATGCCGATTTGAGGTCATCTGTATAATTGAAACATGATAAAGCAACTATAATTCTGTGGGGGGTTATTTCCGAAGAGGAAGATATTAGCATATCTTGATGACACTAACTGAGCTTTTTTATTGTTCTGAATACGTAGTTTTTAAGAATGTAACGTGTATAAATATTTGGAGTCCAAATTTCTGCCTTAAAAAAGATGAAATAGAATCTTTGAAATAAAGCCAAATTTATTGGCTTCTTATTGGTAAACTTTCATATATTGTTAATGAAAGCAGTTTATTAGACAGGATCTTATTCTGCAGTTTTTTTCAGAGAAACTGTAGTAGATCTCCGATATTTTCTTTGCAGTTAAATCAAATAAAATAATTCACCAAAAATTGATAATAAGAAAATCATTGGAAAACTCAAACACCAAATTACTTTCAAACTACATGCAAAATTTAAGATTTGTTCTTTTATGATTGTTTTTCATGTAATTAAGTTGTTCCCCCTGTGTTTAGTTGCATGTATGTGCTGCGATGCATCAGATTTTCTCTGTATTTAATCAGTGTGCGTGCATGGTAGCTGCTTTGCACAGTATAAAGGAACAAAATCCTGTTCTTCTTCAGACTTCTGTTTTACCTCTAAAAGTCTGAATAATAGATTGTGAATCTAGTTCTTAATATATGCTTAAACTTCCTTTTTTTGATGTTCTTGTTCCTCTGACTTTTTTGACTCAGCAGTAATTTTCCCATGTTTTAATGGTTTATGTTTAATATGTGGCTTTTGGTGCATTTGGTACCAAATATGGTGCATTGTATTTACTTACCTCTAAGGTGTACCGGCTTATCAGTAGTAAGAAATACCACTCTGCTGTCATATTCTCTTTTACTGATGCACTATGTGCCGATACACAGACTGCTAGAAAATACCAAATTGAGAACATTGCTCTAAGAATATGTATTTCTGCTGAGTTTTGCTGAGTACTACAATATGATGCTTAATTTCCATTCTGCATTTGTTCTACATAACATGTTTTATATTTTATATATTTTTTACATCGGCAGATAGTACAAAACATCCCATCTCTATTTTGTGTTTTAAAAATATCTAGCTGCAAAAGGTCCTCCAGCCTGATATTAGAAGTTTTGCTAAAGATATTAAGTAGTTGATCTGATCACTGTCATGGCAAAGCACAAACGTGTCCCCTTCTGTATTCTGCTTTAACATTCTAAATATTAAAACTAGTTTTAAATTATGGACTCTTTGAAACGTCTGTTGTGATATTTCGCATAATTTCCTCCTTTTCCTGTGAACTTCATTGAGTTTTAGGTGTATTTTTATTTTACTAGTCTTCTAGAGCAGAATATAACAAAATAATTCAAAAAATATTTTGTTTAAAATGTTAATATTTTGAGTATTTTCCTTCTTTTTGGTTAAAAAAAAATAAAAAAAGATATAGACTTATTGGAATAAGGCGTCTTATTTGAAAGGAAAAAGTAAGGTAATCTCATTTATTCTTTTTGTAGATGGAATCAGTGTCAGTGGACTTCCACTTTCCAGTCCTTTCCGACAGGTTGTGAAACCCCGAGTAGAGACTAAACCCATTAATCCACCAGAAGGCAGCAAAGCTGGTGACTTCAGTCACGTAAAGGTAAGTAAATGGCACCAAAACGAGTAAAAGAATTGGTTTGTGATTATAAAATAAAGGATTAATTTCCTCTTCAGTATTTCCTTTTTTTTTTTTTTTTTTTTAGAATAGCTTGATATCCTGTGTTTGGATTGTTATGTCAGAACAAACAAAAAAGTAAACCACATGCAGGCGAGCTGGTTATCAGCAGGGTCTACCCAAGGAACTGCTGGTGCTTCGCCTCCTTTTATTTTCTGATACTAAATTCTCTGTAGGGAAGTGCTTCTTTTATGAATTGTTTTCTTTTATTAAAATGTGCTGAAGGAGTTGTACCTTACAAACATTTTGGGATCAAAGTCTTACGTTCACGCTTTGGGTAGTAAGCCTTTCAGGAATGTTCATATAAGTAATACAGTGGAATAATGAAATGCAAATAAATGTAGCAGGATGAAAGAACGGCGCGCGCAGAAACTACGCTGTACTTGCCAGGAGAGCGACTTCCCTGGAATAAGCTGCTGTTTGTTCTTCTGATGAAGGGCTTAACTGCTGAAGATGTAAACTTTTATTTTGAGCAGTGAAATAAGAACAGCTTTATGCTAGTCAGATTTGCAGAAGATATAGTTTAAGGTTAAAATAACAAAGTTGGTCAAAAATGTAATGTTAGGACTTTATCTTCCATATTTTTGATGAATGTTTTGCGTGCTGTTCAGGATTTAATACGTTTCCTTTATGGATCTGTGTTCTGCATTAATTTGGTGCATCAGAATTTCGCTTGGGGTGTTGTATTATTGCACACTGAAATATTTGGCTCAGCCTGCCTTTCGCTGAAACACAAACAGTAGCTTTGTTTCTTTCGCTGTATCTCACTTGGCATCTGAACTTACTTTCTTCGCTGTAAGGTTGTTTACAACCCCGACTGATAAACAAGCGAAGGTATTAATTTATAAATATGCTTCTTTTGGGCCATTAGTGCTGCTAATTCGTCCTCATTCGTTTCTGCAGTACAAAAATGGTGATGACAGGGAGCATTTGAGAGAGAAAATACTAGCGAAGCTTTTCCTGGTATTTTATGGCACGGCAAGGTACTTCCTGATTGCTCATTAATATAATTCAGCATAATTGAGAAAAAGATTTGGGATGCACAGTAGTAAAGTGGTCAGCACTGTTTTTTTAAATTAAATCTAAAACTGTGGGGAAACTAGAGTTTTTGTCCTATGGACAACTTTTGATTTGTGGAAGCAAGAGGAATATTATGCTGAAACGGGAATAAAATTCCAGGAATGTAGATTCTCAGTGCTCCAAATACATGGAAAAAATTCTTTCAAGCACTTTTTGCTTGTCAGCCAGTTGCCCTGGCAACCATGAAAATACAAGCTCACAGTAGTCTCTGTGATGGTATTACAAGGATGTTAGAGAGCTGTAGAGCAAGAACTTGTGTTTTCAGCAGCGTACGGAGAAGCTGCCTGGTGGAAACATGCATCCTTGATTCTACTGTTAGGTTTATGGGATGCCTTTTGGTTTAATTGATTGATATCTTGTGGTGGAAGCACCATGCAGGTGGTCAGAACCACATTCCGTAGAGAACACCCATGTATCTGTATATTGAGCCTGACTTATGTGACTGTTGCACAGTTCCCATAACATGCTTGAAATTAACACTTTACTGTGTTAGCTATTCTAAAATTGACTTAATCACTAACATTGCATTGTTAGTGGTGTGTGTTTAGTAGAGAAGATCTACAGAGAATCAACAGGGAAAATATAAATCAGGGTGTTCAGGCATCCAAGAGAATAAAGCTGTGGAGGAAGCCTTCAAAATTATGTTTCTGGTTACTTAAATTGTAATATACAGATCACATATTTGCCAGGGAAATTCATCAGATGAAAGTATGATTTAGTATTTTTCTGAGATCTGTGAGCTTTGCCTGTTATGGATGAGATGAGAGAAAATCACAATGAGGGTATCACCATCTGTTGGATAACTTACTATCGTGGCTAATACTGTTTTAATAAATCTTCATCTCTAAACCCTTCATTTGTATTTACTACGTTAATATAGTTATAAAGAATAATCATATCCCAGTTTGTACTAATTAAACTACTATGAATCAATCCTTTGATCTGGCTGAATTAAAATTGCCTATGTAATTCAGACCGAAAATATCTTAGAAGTACTTTTAGATCCACCAGACTATCTACATAATTAAGTCTATGTGTATATGGACGTATATAATTATTACAGACCAAAGGATGAGAAGAAATTACATGTCATAATTCAACAGATTGCATTTCTCTTTGGATGACTGTTACATTTGACTTGTAGTCATTCTGTGGTCAGGTGTTATATCCAGCTTTTTCTCGTGCTTATTGCTATCTGTTTACTTCTGTCTGCTATTTCTCTCTACTTACTGTGACAGGGCTCTTTAATCTAGTAGAAAAACACATGACAAGAACCAGCAGCTTAAAATAAAAGCCGGGCAAATTCCAATTAAAGAATCAGGCAGTTATTGTAAATAATTGAGTCAATTAGCCATTAAAGATACAATGAAAATGTAGTCTGGTCTAGTTTTCTTGGCTGGGTTCTGGAGGATTTGCTGTATTTTTAACTTTTATTTGCTTGACTTCATGCTGCGTATCTTTCAGAATATAAAAATATATATTTGTTGACAAATGTAAAGGCTTTTGCATAGAAGGAACGTTGCTGTGTGAAGAGTAGCGATCTGGGATATATAACAGAGAGATGATCCAATGTTCCCTTTGACCTCGAATCTAAAAAATATTTGATATTAATGAATCTTTTTGAACGGCCCAGAACTCCCAACAGACGATATTTCAATTTCCTTCTGTTGCTGCAGAAGAATTGTGTGCCTGTGGGCTGTTGCCCGTGTCCTGCACAGTGCCCTTTGGGATGATTGCTTGATTGTATTTTAAGGTTTGCCTTGTAATAGTTTAATTAACGTGGTTTGATAAGGACTAATGCCAGAAGCAAGTGGAAGTTTTTAAGTTAAGAAACAAGATAAGTCTTAAACATTTGCTGTGAAACCTTAAACATGCTGTGAAAATGCTCTGCTATCGCTTATGATCTAGCAATAGGTGTTTGTTGTGAATATTCAGGATAAGTAGTTATTTTTCGGTTCTCTATGTGCATAAGCTAGTCTTCAAAAGCAAGATGAGTCTTTGCAAATGAAAATTGATATAAGTCTATATTACTCCTGTTACAGTTTCTGAGATGTCCTTATGTGGATACTTGTAAGCATTGATGCTTAAACCTTCCCTTTCAACTTGTTTTGCTTACAACTTTTGTGCTTCAAAGTGCTGGAATACTGAATACTGCCAGTATTGCACTTGAACTTCCCTACAGTCCATGATTTCAGATTTGCAACAGGCTATCTTCTAATAAACCGGTCACTGGCTTCTGGAAATGACTGTTGTAATGACATCATAAATTCAATATAAAAATTGCTTTATGGCTTCATGATAAAGCTTGCTTACACGTACCTCAAGCTGAAAAGAGTGTCAGTGTAATACGATGTTCAGATACACTCTTTGCTGCTGTTTACTTCTGAGTAGCTGTGGTAACTGTTGTCTTAAAAACCTTAGTCATCCTAGGCTACGTGTGTGCTGCAGGGTGAGTTAGCCCATGCTTAGCTCTGCATTGCTGTGGGTAAACCGGTTAAGCCATGAAATGGCTTATTTTAGGGCTGTGTTAGTTACTTTTTTGAATAAAACTGTACTGCCTTTAGACATTCAACTATTCTCTGCGTGAATGCAAAAGCCGCAGAAAAAGTTAAACAACTGTCGTCATCTCTCAGCGCACAGTATGTTATTTTTAACCTAGGGAGTTCTGTACTGCATTTCAAGCTTGGAAGCAGGGTTTATTTGGCCTAGACTAGCGCTTTGCAGTGGTGGAAGAAATCCACCCTCGCTCCATGCCATGTATGATGGACTTGAGGCGTGGAGATCAGTCCAATTCATGTGAATCTGGTCCTTAAAGTCACAGGGTTTGCCATCATATAATGGTAATTCACTGGTAGTTCCTTTATGTTACCAGGTGAAAATGCAAATTATCTGTCAAGATGTCTCAGTTCAACTTAACGGCCAGGGTTTCTTTAAAATAAATCTTCTGGGAGTAGGGAATGCTACATGACCCTAATCTGACAAAAAGCCGGTTCAAAAATTGAAATGGCAGTCTTTAAGTTGGGTGAAAGAAAATGTATGTTGTGGATTTTTAAAAAAAAAAATGATTTAAGATGTTAACCATCGACTCTCATTGATGACCAGTTGCAGCACAGGCTGTGAGCTGGCTTATAATTTAAAATGACTGGCTGATATTTGTTTTGAAATTTGTATGTTCAGAATTTGTATTTTCCCCTGCATACTGAACACGAGCTGGAATTTAAGAGGATGCAGTGCAGAAATGAGGTGCAAGTAAACTACTGCATTCCTGTACTATCAGTAAATGATAGGGAGTGTTAAACTAGAATAAAATGTAGGGCTAATTATGCGCTATCTTTAGTGTATCTTCTCTGATTCAGTTGATAGTGTGTTAAAATGAAACATCAGACTGAGTTGGATGTTGTCCATGCAATTCTCAGGTTATACTCTTTTAGTGTGGATGCTGTTAAATGAAACAAACTTTATTTTGGTGATGCTTTAAGCTCCAAATCCTTAGACCTGTAAGCCTTAAGTCTATTCTTCTATGTTTAAACCCTGGAATAGAACAAGTTTTTAATAGCTCTAGAGTCTACTGAAGTTAGTGAGAGTGTTAAATCTACTTTTGAAAGGGATTACTTCTTTTTAGTTGCCTAAATGTGAATTTAGGAATGAGGTCTTGGGCATGAAAGGTTAACGCCTGTTAAATGCTCTACTCCCACATTGTCTTGTTTAGGAATTGAATAGTATGTCTGTAAATGCTGTGGTCCTCAGTTGCCTTTTGTATTGGTATATTCACGTCAACGTTAAATGTGTAGCTAGAACATTCATATAATATCAATTTAGAAAGCCTGTAATCCTTCACATTATAT